CGTCCGCTTGGTCCTCATTTTCGACCATCACTTGAGGTGTTTCCTCAGGTTGTGGTTGCGGGTTGGTGTATAATGGCGTGTCTTCTTCATCGTCTTCAATGTGTACTCTCTCTAATGAATCTGCAAGATCATCACAAATAGCCTTTCTCGCCAAGCGAGGATTATCTTCGGAAAATACAATATGAGGGGACTCCTCAATAGTCAAAGTACGTTTATTAAATACTCTATAGGCCTTGTTGCGAAGAGAATAACCAAGAAAAATCCCTTCGTCCGATTTGGCATCAAATTTTCCCAAGTTATCTTTTCCGTTATTATGAATAAAACATTTGCAACCAAAGACTCGAAGATGGGAAAGGTTTGGCTTTCTCCCTTTGTATTGTTCATAGGGCGTTTTCATGAGTATTGGTCGAATGACGGCTCGATTTAACACGTAGCTCGCGGTACTCACGGCATTCGCCCAAAAATACTTAGGGATTTTTGCCTCATTGATCATAGTTCTAGCCATCTCTTCGAGACATCTATTTTTACGTTCCACCACTCCATTTTGTTGTGGTGTACGAGGGGCTGAGAAGTTATGATCAATGCCAACTTCGTCACACAAATCTGAAAACAGATTTCGTTCGAACTCTCCCCCATGGTCGCTTCTTATGGCTACTATGGTTGTTTCTTTTTCATTTTGAACTTTCTTTAGAAAATTTTTGAAAACATGAAATGCTACACTTTTATGAGTAAGAAACAAGGTCCATGTAAACCTAGAGTAGTCATCGACAATCACAAACACAAAGTAATTGCCACCAAAACTTTTCGTTCTAGAAGGACCAAAAAGATCCATGTGCAAAAGTTGAAGCGGTCTAGACGTTGAAACAACGTTCTTAGACTTAAACGAAGCCCGAACTTGCTTCCCCTTTTGACATGCATCACATATGGCATCTTTTTCAAATTTAAGTTTTGGAATGCCAATTACTAAGTCTCGTGAAACCAATTTGTTCAAAAGGTTCATGTTCATATGAGCTACCCTTCGGTGCCATAACCAAGTGTCTTTGTCTTTACTCATGAGGCAGTTAGCAAAGTCGGAAGGAGATTTGTCTAAGTTAACCATATAAATGTTATCGATTCTATCACCACGTAGAATGACCATATTGTCACTAAGGCGTTCTACCGTGCATGATTTTGAATCGAAAGTCACACGGTTTCCCTTGTCACATAATTGACTTATGCTCAAGAGATTGTGTTTGAGACCTTTAACAAGCAAGACATTATCTATAGAGAGGTTTTCAGATTTACCTACTAAACCAACTCCGATAATTTTCCCCTTGCTATTGTCTCCAAAAACTACGTTTCCTCCTTTAGCGGGTTTGATTTGGAGAAACTTGGATGCATCCTCGGTCATGTGTTTGGAGCATCCACTATCAAGGTACCAAAGTACACTTGATGCCTTCAAGCATACCTATGAAACACATCAATGAGTTTTAGGTACCCAATTTACGTTGGGTCCTCGGGTGTTAGGTGTGTAATGGTAGTGTGCTTGATTTTGTGATAGGTGCATATGCTTAGTGTAACAAACGGGAGCAATATGGCCATAGGATAATGTTATTACCGTTTGATGTAACCCCAACATGTACACGGATCCAAGTATTATCAATCTTCCAAATTGGTAAAACAAGGATAAAACACTTTTACTACCAAAAACCTTTAAAACTTTAACCGGAGAAGATCCACGAGATCGTAATAAAGAAGAATAAACTCTTTTTTCATTTTTATGCACAAAATCATTTTTCGTAGGTTGTCTACTATGACCATTTTCATTCCTAGGTTTTAGTCTAGGTTGTCTAGTGTCCTTCGGTTGACTAGGTTTTCTATTATCTTCATTTTTAGGTTTCTTATGTTGAACCTTAGATGATTGTCTAGGTGGTGGCTCAACATTATCTTTAGCTTTATTTTTATCAAAACCTATTCCTTCCTTAGAAAAATGCATTGTAACGCCCCAAAATATGGTCTAAAAGTTATTCTATTATAAAAGTATTTTTAGAAACCATATTTTCACTCAACAAAGCATTATTTCTATGTTTGACCAAAAATGAAGGAATTTTTGGAGTCAATGATTTTTGTTAAGATTGACTTTTATGGATAGGTCTCGAAGAGACAAATCCAGCGACATATTTTATGAATAAATCTGATGTAAAGAGGTTCA